CTCCTGCGCTGTCACTGGCCTCCTCCCGGGGCCGGTATTGCCTGCCTCCCGCGTCTATCTGCCCGAGCCAGCGGGGCGCCCTCACCCCCTCCTCACCCTCACCCCAGGTGTTCTACCAGCGCGCGGACATGGCCATCGGCTCCCTCACCATAAACGAGGAGCGCTCCGAGATCGTGGACTTCTCCGTCCCCTTCGTGGAGACGGGCATCAGCGTGATGGTGGCGCGCAGCAACGGCACCGTGTCCCCCTCGGCCTCCCTCGGGGGCCGCTGCGTGCCCAGTCCCATCTGGTATTGCCGGGACTCGCGGTGACTCCGTCAAGTGGCTTCACTTCTGAGCCTCAGTTTCCTGATCTGTAATATGGGAGAAGTCATTTCCACTACCAGAAGCATTTTGACCATGAAGCTAATAATGAGCTTCGGCTGCCTTCTCTCGCACAGCCTCCTCAAGGCCCTGGGCCTGGTTTTGTAGTCATGATTTTGTATTTTTTTTTTTAAATATTTTTATTGATTTCAGAGAGGAAGGGAGAGGGAGAGAGAGAAACATCAATGATGAGAGAAAATCATTGATTGGCTGCCTCCTCCACGCCCCCTAGTGGGGATGGAGCCCACAACTCAGGGGTGTGGCCTGACCTGGAATGGAACCATGACCTCCTGGTTCATAGATCATGGTTCAACCAGTGAGCCTCGCCGACCAGGCTGTATTCTTTTTTTCTTACAGAGAACCCTCCAAATTGTAAGAGCTTCAGGCCCCACAAAATCCAAGTCCCCCCAGTATGTACGTATGAGATGAGGAAGAGATTAGCATGGTACCGGCACAGGGTCGGTGCCCGATTCACCCACCAGACAGTGTTTTTTGAGCACCTCGTGTGTGTCAGGCTCTGAGCTGCGCACTAATCCCCACCCTCTCAGAGCTCTTGGCCTCCTGGGGGAGACAAAATAAATTCTTAAAGGGGTCCAGGGACAAAAATCACTTAAGATGGTGACCAGCACCACAAGAAATTAAGTTGGGGGTCGGGGAGAGAAGGAAAGGAATGGTGTTGGTGCTGCGGTGGTGGGGCGGGCAGGCCCCTTTGCGGAGGCGACTCGGTCCTTTGTAGATCTGCAGGGAAAAGCATTGTAGGCAGAGGGAACAGCAAGGACAAGGGTGGCGATGTGCATGGAGTATCTGTGAAATAGGGAGAGGCCTGTGTGACCGGAGGAACGGAGCCAGTGAGAGGGGTGGCCGGGGGGCCGTGGCAGGAAGACTGGGTGTTCCTCTTACTGAAATGGCAAGGGTTTTAACCGCGGGCGGCGGGAGAAAGATGGCAGCGAGGGTGAGACAAGGGGACGGTGTGAGATGTGCTGGGAAGCTGACACCCCGGTGAGTTGGGCTTTGAGCTGGATGGGAACAGGATAGAGAGCTCATTTCCTCAGCCGGGGGAAATAGAAGGAAAAGTCTTGTCATTTCCCGCTTGCTGTCTGAGTCGCAGCACAGCTCCTGGCGGGGGAGGCGCTGGGAGAAGGGACAGCTTCCTGCGTGTTTTGTTCCTGGTATTTTCCCCAGCGATGTCTCTCGTGGCTTCCTCTGGGCACCGAGGTCTGCCAGGCATCTTGAGATGCACCACGTGGGCCCTGCTCTCAGCAGGGGAGTGACAGGGTCGTAGGCATGACCCACCATGCTGCCCAGTGGAGATGACAGGCATGTCCCCAGATGCTGCAGGAACAGTCCGGGGTGGCCACTCTGCGGTGACAGGGGCAGGCCTGGCCGCTTGCACTCGGCCCAGGGAGATCAAAGCAGCCCGTACTAATCTCAGGGGAAGGGCTTGTTGTCAGTGAACTCCCAGAGGCCGTGTGAGGAGGGGGCACAGGATCCAGATGGGAGGGGAGCTGTGGAGACCCAGGCAGAGAGGGTGTGGCTAACTGTGAGGTCTGGGTGGGTCAAGCAGTGGGGTCTGCAGTGATCCGGTTGGAGAGGAGGGCGGAAGCAAGGCTGAGGGTGGGGCTTTGTTCTGGGGTGCTAGGGAGCCAGGGAGGACTGTGAGCTGGGGAGGGGTCAGGTCACCTCTCAGTTTAGAAAGAGCCTCCAGGGCCATGGAAAGGGGGGGGGGGGAAACAGGCTTGAAGGGAGAGACTGGTGAGGTGGCCCAGGAGAGGGGGCAAGGCCTGATCCAGGAGTGGGGACGGGAGGATGGGGCTGAGGACTGATAGGCTGTGGCTGGTGAGGGAGAAAAAGGGAGAGAGAGAGGATGCAAATAGGGGGTTGGTTTGTGACCGAATGGAGGGTGGGACTCCCAGGATGGGGAACCTGGGAGCTGGTGCCGTGGTGTGGGGCATGAATGGCCCGGGGGTGGCGGGGGAGCGGGATGGCCAGGGGAGATGGAGACTCGGCTCGGGGCTCAGGAGTCATATTTCGAAGACGGTTCCTATTTGGTGCCTGAGACCACAGGAATGGTTGAGATGGCTGTCTTTGAGAGAGACTGGCTCTCAGGGGCCTGTGTGGCCAGCGAGGCTGTTCCCGAGATGGGAAACTTGGGAAGGGGAGAGGGTAGGACAGGGTCAGACCTGGGCTGCACCTTGGTCACATGTCTGTGTGGTCCCCCAATCTTCTGCTTGGCTGAGCCATGACCACCACCACCCCCTTGTCCCCAGAGCCCTACAGCCCCGCTGTGTGGGTGATGATGTTCGTCATGTGCCTCACCGTGGTCGCTGTCACTGTGTTCATCTTCGAGTACCTCAGTCCTGTGGGTTACAACCGCAGCCTGGCTACCGGCAAGCGTGAGTCCCCTTCCTCCATCACCCTACCTCAGAGCGCCTGGACCTCAGAGAGAACTACATTTCCCAGCGGGCATTGGGGTAGAGCGATGGCCCCTTGAGGTGGCAGAGGCCTCAGGGGCCACTGGGAATTGTAGTTCTTTCTGCTCCCTCATGGAGCCGAAGGGATTTGGGGTCCATGTCCCGCCCCCCCTCCTGGCCCCCTGCAGGCCCTGGTGGCTCAACCTTCACCATTGGAAAATCCATCTGGCTGCTCTGGGCCCTGGTGTTCAATAACTCAGTGCCCGTGGAGAACCCCCGGGGTACTACCAGCAAAATCATGGTGCTGGTGTGGGCCTTCTTCGCCGTCATCTTCCTCGCCAGCTACACAGCGAACCTGGCCGCCTTCATGATCCAGGAGGAGTACGTGGACACCGTGTCTGGGCTCAGTGACCGAAAGGTGTGTGTGTGTTTGGGGAGCGGGGAGTTGGCTGGGGTTGGAGGTCACAGAACTTGTCACGTGGGTGGGCAGAGGGGGATTCCTGGGGAGGGGGGGAGGGTCTCCTCCCAGAAAGAGTTCCAAAATGGTAGAGTTCTGGAGCCCGCAATGGACTATTTAAATATTCCCAGGGGAAGAGTGCTGCCAAATGTTCCAGGGGCAGAAGTGACCAATGGGATAGTCTAGACCACCGTTCCCCCAAACTGTGATGAAGAACTAATTTTTGAAATTTCTAATCCAGTGGAGACCAATGCTTTTATGAAATACAATCGAAATGCATTACTAGAAAAGTGAAATTTATAATGGAGACTTGCAGAGTTAAATTGCTCTAAACGCTGACTCTCGATTTCTGTACTTGCCGCATCGGGGGTCACTGTTCACAGAACCCGTTTCCCTCAAACTGTGATGAAGAACTAATTTTTGAAATTTCTAATCCAGTGGAGACCAATGCTTTTATGAAATACAATCGAAATGCATTACTAGAAAAGTGAAATTTATAATGGAGACTTGCAGAGTTAAATTGCTCTAAACGCTGACTCTCGATTTCTGTACTTGCCGCATCGGGGGTCACTGTTCACAGAACTGAAACTAGCCTCCTGTGCAGACTGAGAAGGAAAGGAGTCATCTACTAGGACATCGGTTCTCAACCTGTGGGTCGCGCCCCCCTTGGGAGGTCGAACGACCCTTTCACAGGGGTCACCTAAGACCATCGGAAAACACACATATAATTACGTATTGTTTTTGTGATTAATCACTATGCTTTCATTATGTTCAATTTGTAACAATGAAACTGGGGGTCACCACAACATGAGGAACTGTATTAAAGGGTCGCGGCACTAGGGAGGTTGAGAAACGCTGCCTTAGAAGGTTGAGCAATCCATTCAATGGATGGCCACCAGCAATTTGTTTAATGCAATTGAATAGAAGAGAAAATACGTCTGACTGCATCTTAGGAAATAAGGATGAGTGTGGCTTTATGAAACGTTTGTCTAGTCAGATACTGACACTGAGCCAGCACACACCTGTCTGGCTGTGTCTGTTGCTAAAACAGTGAACTATGTCTGAACAGATCGGTAAATAACGACTGCCCGGCTCCCCTCCTCCCCGTGCCAGCCCCTGCCCCTGCCCCTGGGACCTCCCATGGACCCAGCAAGTTAAGGGTTAATGCCTGGCATGTCAGGGGCCTCTGGGGTCCTTCTTGAAAGTCTGCAGACAGTGTCTTTTTTGACTGGACCATGACCAGGCCCTGCTGGGGGTTAAGTATTTTAATATTACTGATTATGTGTATATGTAATTCGTGCACAGGTGGGGGCCCTAGGCCTGGCCAGCGATCAGCGCCGGCTGGGGCTTGCCTTCCTGCCGGCTGCTGGCTGGGGTCTGCCAGCCCGGGGGAGGGACCGTGGGAGGTTGGCCAGCCATGGGGAGGAGCTAGGGGAGGTTGACCAGCCATGGGATGTTGGCTGTGGGAGCGCACTGACCACCGCGGGGCAGCTCCTGCGTTGAGCATCTGCCCCTTGGTGGTCAGTGTGTGTCATAGCAACCGGTCATTCTGGTTGTTCTGGCATTCCAGTCGCATAGGCTTTTATATATATAGATAAAAGATTCGTGCAATAGGCCTTCCCTTCCCCTGGCTGCCGGCACCGGTTTTCCTCCGGCACCCAGGACCCAGGCCTTTGCTCCGGCCAGAGCCGCCTTCAGTCTTCGCTCCGCTGCTTCATGCCTACATATGCAAATTAACCGCCATCTTTGTTGGTGGTTAATTTGCATATCTCGCTGATTAGCCAATGGGAGGTGTAACGAAAATACGATCAATTACCATGTTTGTCTATTATTAGATAGGATTGGTATAGGTATAGGTATAGGTATGGGTATGGGTATAGGTATAGGTATATACCTGCAAATGTATAGATATCTGTGGGTGAGCAGTAGTGTTTCCTACTATAGGCCACTGCCTTCAAATGTATAGATATTTGTGGGTGAGCAGTAGTGTTTCCTACTATAGGCCACTGTGAGCAAGTTTGAGGAACACTTTTGCACTGGGGTGTCCCCTAGCTGGAATGGACATCTGGATGGAGTACATCCTCACCCCGACGGCCCCAAGGGGGCGCCCTAGTAACTTTCCATTCTGCCCTAGTTCCAGCGGCCCCAGGAGCAGTACCCGCCCCTGAAGTTCGGGACCGTGCCCAACGGGTCCACGGAGAAGAACATCCGCAGCAACTACCCCGACATGCACAGCTACATGGTGCGCTACAACCAGCCCCGCGTGGAGGAAGCGCTCACGCATCTCAAGGCAGGGTCAGCGCAGACTCGAGCGGGAGGGGGCGGGGTGGGGCCGGGCGCCCTGCGGATGCTCAGAGATGGTGAGGGGTGATTTATTGGCATTAGAGGTCAATGCGGGGTGGGTCAGCTTGGAGGGCAGAGGGCACCGAGAGTGGGAGTGAACTCCCAGAAATAGGGTCCTTGTGATGGTTTTCGGGATCCAGTTCAAATCCTGGATTTGTCTCTTCTTGGCTGTGTGTCCTTGGGCAAGTCACTCAACCTCTCTGAGCCTCAGTTTCCTCCCCTGTAAAATGGGGATAACAGGAGGACCTACCTCATAAGGTTGTTATAAGAACTACTGTAGTTATTATTATTAGTTAACATATTATTTTGTTATTATTGTTAGTTAATCCATCAAAACAGAGCAGTGGCTGGCGTGCTGTAGGTGTTTGCGTAAGGTTGTTATAAGAGCTACTGTAGTTATTATTATTAAATAACATATTATTTTGTTATTATTGTTAGTTAATCCATGCAAAACAGAGCAGTGGCTGGCGTGCTGTAGGTGTTTGCTGCTATCATCATCATCATCATTATTAGAACTAAACTCAATGGAATGAATATTTGTATTATTTTTTTTTAAAGTTATTTATTTTAACATCAGTTTCCCCCCCAAAATAGGGGTAACGTTAAGTTCTGGCCCCAGAGTACAGTCCAAGTGGAACACAGTCACTCTCTCCCTGTCCCTCCTTTATTTAGTCGCCCAGCATGCATTTGCTTTCTTAGCCCCTATTCTACACCAGGCAGTGGACAATTGGGCCACAGTTCCTGGCCTCCGGGAGCTTAGGGTCCAGAACAGTGATGGCGAACCTTTTGAGCTCGGCGTGTCAGCATTTTGAAAAACCCTAACTTAACTCTGGTGCCGTGTCACATATAGAAATGTTTTGATATTTGCAACCACAGTAAAACAAAGACTTATATTTTTGATATTTTTATTTTATATATTTAAATGCCATTTAACAAAGAAAAACCGACCAAAAAAATGAGTTCGCGTGTCACCTCTGACACGCGTGTCATAGGTTCGCCATCACTGGTCTCAAAGTAGGAAATGAACTATGAACATGCAAGCAGAAAAATCAGCAAGGTGGTTTTAGAAAGTCATGGTAAGCTAGAGCATGACTGAGCTGGGATATACTCACCGGAGTGTTCAGGGTGGGCCTCTCGGAGGAGGTGACTTGGGCAGAGAGAGCCCTGAAGGAAGTGAGGGAGCTAGGCAGAGGGCACAGGGTGTTTCAAGGGGCTGAGCCGGGCGTGGCCTTGGCTTATTGGAGGATCAGTAAAAGGCTAAGGTGGCTGAATTATGGAGAGCTGGGGTTAGAGGGTAGATGAGAGGAAGATGTGAGGTGCGACCCCCTGAGTCAGAGGTCATGGTTGTGTGTTATTCAAAGGGCAGTGAGAAGCCACGGGGAGGGGGACTTTGAGGAGAAGAGAGGTGTGCTTTGATTTGTCTGTAAATGCCCCCTCTGGCTGCCATGTGGAGAATGGGTGGAGGGGGGCCTCAGTGGGACCAGCTATCATGTCTTTTAGAGCAGCGGTCGCCAACCTTTCGGACCTCGTGGACCACTGACTCGCTGGTGACCGCTGGTCTAGAGCACCTTTCCCCAAGGCCCACCCTCTGCTCACCCTCCAGCAGCCACTCCTAACCAGATCCTATTTATTCCTGTTTTGATTAGAATTGCTGGGCTGCAAGATAAGAAACCCGATCAGTTTGGTCTCTGTAAAGTGAATGGGTTTGCATAAGGATCCAGCAGCGTCTCTTAGCACTAGTAACAGAAAGTGAAGCCCGGCCGGCGTGGCTCCGTGGTTGAGCGTCCACCTATGAACCAGGAGGTCACAGTTCGATTCCCAGTCAGGCACCTGCTCCATCCCCAGGGAGGGGCGTGCAGGAGGCAACAGGTTGATGATTCTCTCTCATCATCGATGTT